GTGTGTGACCAGCTGCAAACAGCCATCATCCCCTCATCCAGGCTGGCCAGGCACCCCAGTGGGGACCCCCACCCTGAAGGGTGTGTGACCAGCTGCAAACAGCCATCATCCCCTCATCCAGGCTGGCCAGGCACCCCAGTGGGGACCCCCACCCTGAAGGGTGTGTGACCAGCTGCAAACAGCCATCATCCCCTCATCCAGGCTGGCCAGGCACCCCAGTGGGGACCCCCACCCTGAAGGGTGTGTGACCAGCTGCAAACAGCCATCATCCCCTCATCCAGGCTGGCCAGGCACCCCAGTGGGGACCCCCACCCTGAAGGGGGTGTGACCAGCTGCAAACAGCCATCATCCCCTCATCCAGGCTGGCCAGGCACCCCAGTGGGGACCCCCACCCTGAAGGGGGTGTGACCAGCTGCAAACAGCCATCATCCCCTCATACCGGGAGTTCTATCACTCGCTATGATGTGCACTGACCACCAGGGGGCAGCGCGGAATGAAGGAAGGCCCCAGCCAGCAGCTGGCAGCAGGGGAAGGGAGGCCCCAGCCAGCAGCTGGCAGCCGCTAGGGACCCTACCTTTGCAAGAAATTCATGAACTGGGCCTCTAGTTAAACAGTATTTTCCATTCACCTCTCCCCTTCACCCAGCGGTTCTCAACCTGTGGGTCACCAACCTGTGGGTCGCGACCCCTTTGGGGGTCAAACGACCCTTTCACAGGGGTCGCCTAAGGCCATCGGAAAACACATTTATAATTACATATTGTTTTTGTGATTAATCACTATGCTTTAATTATGTTCAATTTGTAACAATGAAAATACATCCTGCATATCAGATATTTACATTACGATTCATAACAGTAGCAAAATTACAGTTATGAAGTAGCAACGAAAATAATTTTATGGTTGGGAGTCACCACAACATGAGGAACTGTATTAAAGGGTCTCGGCATTAGGAAGGTTGAGAACCACTGCCTTAACCCATGGCAAATACCATCCTGCTTTCTATCTCTATGAATCTATTTTGGGTACCTGGAATAAGTGGAATCAGAGTATTTGTCCTTTTGCGATTAGCTTATTTCATTTAGCATAATGTCCTCAAGGTTCACATATATCGTACAATGTGTAAGAATTTTCTTCCTTTTTAAGGCTCAATAATATTAAATTGTGTATGTACCACATTTTGTTTATTCATTCAGCCATCAATAGACACTGGTTGGTTTTGATCTTTTGGCTATTGCAAATAATGCAGCTATGAATAGATGTACAAATATCTGCTTGTACATGTGTGTATGACCAGAAGTGAAACTGCTGGATCAAATAATAATTCTATGTTTAAATTTTTGAGGAACAGTCACACTGCTTTTCCCAGCTGCTGTGCCATTTTACATTCCTACCAGCAATGCACAAAAATCCCAACTTTTACACATTCACACCAACACCTATTAACTGGTTTCTGGTTTGTTTTTTGTTTGATAATAGAGTTTTTAATTGCTGTGAAGTGGTATGTTTTTGTGGTTTTTATTTACATTTCCATAATGATTAGTGATATTGAGCATCTTTCCACGTGCTTATTGACCATTTGTATATCTTCCTTGGAAAAATGTCTATGCAAGTTCCTCTGCCCATTTTTTAATTGAATTATTTGTATTTTTGCTGTTGAGTTTTAGGAATTCTTTATATATTCTGGATATTGATTAAGTTGCTACTTAAATTGATACCTAAAATATAATAAGTGAATTATAGGTTAAATTATCTTAGTGGCCCATTTAATACTAAAAGCCATCTGAAAATAAAATCCTTTCAAATATTAATTCCAAAATCAAATTATTTTAAAATCAGCAGTCTTTCCTCAAAGCTCACATGGATACTAAAAAATGTTTTAAAAATTAATTATTGATAACAACACTAACAAGTAACCAAAATTCACATGATGCATATGAAATATTTGACAATATCTACACTTGTCAGTGTTTCAGAGTCATCACAATGCACACTTTTGGGCAATACCATTCATATCCAATCTACATAAATGCTATGCCATGGAGCACAGGGGAGCACCCTTGTACATATAGACTACCCTATAAGTGGTGGTCCCTGGAGTTGTGCAATACTGAAGCCTTATGGCATTCAAGCAGTAAAAGATGTATGTTTAATTTTTAAAGTTAAAAATGGCAAAGAAAATAATAAAAGTGAGTGCACCTTTGGAATTCAATTCAATGACTCCATAAGTTCTCAACTGACTTACTCATTCTTATCTAATTAAAGTATTCAATGCAATTCTTCTACAGTAGTTTTACTACTTAAGTAGATAGAACTATTGTCATTATCTCCCAGCATCCAATCTTCCTTCTTCTGATAACACCTCAGTTTCTCATTGAGCAACTACCTCTCCCCATTCACAGTGCCTGAGTTTCAGGTAGTTCTTGGGATAAGCACAGGAACTGAATCTGGCAATCAAATTCATAGTGATTAAGTCAAGGAAAGACATGGAGCACAAAATAAGATAGTAAGATTCAGTTCAAGAACTTTTGCTGGTTTTTTTAGGAAAGAGGTGTTTTTATAATTGCTAAGCTATTGGTAACCACCTCTGCCATCTCTCATAAGAAGAGCTAATCAAAGAATGAAGCTTACACACACACACACACACACACACACAGCAGAGCACAGAGACAAACTTAAGGCTGCCCTGTGACAGCATTTGAAGTCCTGGATACAATGTCTTATACATAGGTACTCCCCAAATTTCTCGTGCATGAGCCAATAAACTTTATTTTTCACTTAGCTTTTTAGGGCTTTCTGTCATTCATGGCTTCACATACAATTAGTTTTATCACCCTATACTTTAAAATATATTTTTTATTGTTTTTTTACAGAGAGGAAGGGAGAGGGATAGAGAGCTAGAAACATCGATGAGAGAGAAACATCGATCAGCTGCCTCCTGCACACCCCCTACTGGGGATTTGCCCGCAACCAAGGTACATGCCCATGACCGGAATCAAACCTGGGACCCTTCAATCCGCAGGCCAACGCTCTATCCACTGAGCCAAACCAGTTAGGGCTCCCCCTATACTTTAAAAATAATAAAACCCACAAAATTTTCTCAAAATTCTGGAGGCCATAAATCTGAAATCAGTTTCACTAGGTTGAATCAAGGTGTGGGCACAGTCACAGTCCCTCTGGAGGTTCTAATAGATAATCTAGATGAAGCTACTAGTGGTTGCCAGCATTCCTTGGCTTAAGGCTATATCACTCCTATTTCTGCCTCGGTAGCCACTTTGCCTTCTCCTCTCCTGTAAATGTAACATGTCCCTCTGCCTCTCTTTACAAGGACGTTTGTGATTACATTTAGAGGCTACCCAATAAGCTACACTAATAAAAGATAAACATGCAAATTGGCCGTACCTACGCTACGCCTTAAGCCACGCCCACCAGCCAATCAGAGCGACTATATGCAAATTAACCCAACCAAGATGGCGACCGGCGGCCATGGAGCTGGAGCAACCAGGAGGCTTGGTTGCCCCAATGATGGTGGAAGCCAAGCTTCCCGCTTGCTGCGGCTGGCTCTGAGCTCCACTCAAAGCAACAAAGTTTCAGTTATAGAAGATAAATAAACCCCAGATACCTGGTTTCAGCCAGACGTGGCCATGGAGCTGGAGCAAGCAAGAGGCGTGGGTTGCCCCTGGCGATGGAGGAAGCCAAGCTTCCCTCCCACCTGCCCTGGCCGGCTCTGAGCTCCTCACAAGGCTACAAAGTTTCAATTTTAGAAGGTAAATAAATCCCAGAATAAAAATTTAAAAAAAGAAAAAATGGAGAGGCTGGGAGCTTCTGTGGCCGGGGGGCTTGACCAACCTGAAAACGGCCCCCGGCCCCTCACCCAGACTGGCCAGACACCCCAGTGGGGACCCCCCACCCCAAAAGGGGTGTGGCCAACCTGAAAACAGCCATGAGCCCCTCACCCAGCCTGGCCAGGCACCCCAGTGGGGACCCCTACCCTGAAGGGGGTGTGACCAGCCTGCAAACACCCATCAGCCTCTCACCCAGGCTGGCCAGGCACCCCAGCGGGACCCCCACCCTGATCCGGGACACTCTTCAGGGCAAACCAGCCGGCCCCCACCCATGCACCAGGCCTCTATCCTATATAATAAAAGGGTAATATGCAAATTGACCCTAACAGCAGAACGACTGGAAATGACTGGTCACTATGACACACACTGATCACCAGGGGGCAGACGCTCAATGCAGGAGCTGCCCCTGGTGGTCAGTGAGCTCCCACAGGGGGAGCTCTGCTCAGCCACAAGCCAGGCTGACGGCTGCCTGCACAGCGGTTTGTGGTGGGAGCCTTTCCCGCCTCCTCAGCAGCGCTAAGGATGTCCGACTGCAGCTTAGGCCTCCTCCCCGCTGGCAAGTGGACATCCCCCAAGGGCTGCTGGGCTGCCAGAGGGATGTCTGACTGCCAGCTTGGGCCCGATCCCCCAGGGAGCAGGCCTAAGCCAGCAGGTGGACATCCTCCGAGGTGTCCCAGACTACAAGAGGGCATAGGCCGGGCTGAGGGACTCCCCCGAGTGCACAAATTTTTATGCACTGGGCCTCTAGTATATAATAAAAGCCTAATATGCGAATCAACCAAATGGCAGAACAACCGGTTGCTATGACGCATACTGACCACCAGGGGGCAGACACTTGACACAGGAGCTGCCCCCAACCCACAGGCCCCAGGCCAGCCAAGTCAGGTGCCAGTCCGCCCCCCATCACCCCGCTGGTCGCCCCACAGATTGGTCCTGATCCCCTGCCAGGCCTAGGGACCCTACCCATGCATGAATTTCATGTATGGGGCCTTTAGTTTAAAATAAAGAAGGGAACGTTAAGACTACAGCAAGAAAATGTCTGGTAAGTAACTCCTTAAGAAGTGATTCACTTTAACTCAATTTAAGTAGTATTCTTTGAAACCAAAGAGTTATCATGACAATCCATTTCATTACAAGTGTTAAAATATAAAATTTTACCTCCAGATCCTAACTGCTTGTAGAATCTATATTCCAAATGTAGCTGTGGTGCTCTGGATTTCATGGGTTCCTAATTAAAAAACAAACAACAACAAGTTATTAAAAGATCATTAGGCCCCAATTCCAAATGTTATTAATCTTGGTGGCAACTCTTAGATAATTAATATTTTAGTAGGCATCTTTGTCTCTCTAAGGTTAGATCAACTGTAGATGTATTTCAATGTAAAATAAATTAATGTCAAAAACGTACATAAGATTACGTGGCTATTAGATCAATCACTAGGGAAATTTATGTTTGACTCTTTAACCCTGAAGAAAAGTATATACCAAACATTCATGACTAGGGGAATGGTGACCCTTACTCTATTTCAGCGGTTCTCAACCTGTGGGTCACGACCCCTTTGGGGGTCAAATGACCCTTTCACAGGGGTTGCCTAAGACCATCAGAAAACACATATATAATTACATATTGTTTTTGTGATTAATCACTATGCTTTAATTATGTTCAATTTGTAACAATGAAATTGGGGGTCACCACAATATGAGGAACTGTATTAAAGGGTCACAGCATTAGGAAGGTAGAGAACCACTGCTCTATTTCTTTTGTTTCTAGGAATTCATCTTGAACTGTGTATTTCTTATGTAAAAGTTCTAGGTTAAAGTGAAATCACAGAAAATAGGAAAGAACAAATATGAAGATAAATTTTTGACAGTAACAACAATGTATTTTTTAAATTTTTTACTTGGGATAAAGCTTAAATAAAACACACAGTTCATAAGCATTAGGTCCATGAGCTTTATTAACTTCATATACCCCAGCAACTAGCACCTCAAAAAATCTTTAGAACATTTTATCATCCTTCCCTCCAAGTAATCACTTTTTGACTTCTATCACCTTTGGGTTGGTTTTGTCTGTTATTGTATTAATATTAAAGATATTACACATATATGTTTTACATGTGTTTAGTAAACTAAATACCAAACTATGATGTGGTATTTGCAGATTTTTAATATTTCCTACAACTTTTGTGATATTATACTATGTTAATACAGTTTTGGTAATATTATTATATTTAAAATCTTTGTTTTTTGAAATATTAATGTTTATTGCATGTAACATTAAAATTGTTTTTCTTGAAATATTTTTTAAAAGAGATTTAAAAAAAATTTCTGTCCTGTCAATATATTTTTGAATTTAAGGTGAACATGTCTCCATACTATACTTCAACCTCAGAATACCAAACATAGCTACAAAAATATTCCCAGTTCCTCTAAAGAACACTGCATAACCAAAATTATTGTATGTCATACTCTGATCACTATGCTTAAAAAGGTAAACAGAGAAAGAATATAAAAGAAAGAAGTAAGAAAAATAATTAAGGGGATAGTAACATAGCAGGAAGATGCACTAAAAAGATGACATATGTGTGTATATGTAAAGAAGGACAAAAGATGACATAATAAATGTTTACTAATGAATCAATGGTGTCAAGAGGGTAAAAAGGTCCCAAATCTGATATAACAGGACCTAACGGATACCAGTTTATGACTAAAACGTCAGCCTAGTACAGTGGCTCCTGTTTTGACACAATGGTTTATTTCCCTTTGACCTAACGGATACCACTTTATGACTAAAACAGACTAGGAAACGTCAGCCTAGTGCAGTGGCTCCTGTTTTGACACAATGGTTTATTTCCCTTAGCATATCAGTTAAATATCATTCACAAGCTTCCTTAAGTGGACCTGCTCACTACAGGCTGCTGCATCAGTAACACAGCATATGGGTGTTACTACACTTCTATTCTTGTGCACCACCCCCACTCCCAACACCATACAATGTCTACACCCTAGACCACTGGAATAGAACATGGAAAAAGAATCCCAAAGAAACAAAAGTCGGCAATGCCCATTCAAACACTGTCCAGTCCCTGCATCCTGTATCTCCCCATTGTGATTCATACACACTAACTCCTCCTGTACAGATTTCATGATCAGGAGGGAAGCTTGTCATTTTAACTTGGCATTTTTCTGAGGGAGGCGCCATAACGGGTCCCGTATTTATGGCTTTCTATGCAGATCGGCCTATAGAAAGTAAACATTATTTATACTGATTTGGGCATTCTGAACCTGTAATAGTAAAATACTTCATTATAAAATTAGAAATTAACTCTCCTTAAATATTTTTGAGAGCTTGATTGATTGCATGAATTTATTAAATCTACCTCTGATTAACAGTGACGATGGTAAAGAGATGACCTAACCAGATTTTCCGACATAAAGCCAAGGACCAGACCTTAAAACCAAGGTGAACCCCTCCAGGTAAATGCCAGTCCAAACTCACAAGTCAGCCAGCCAGTCTTAGAAGCACCACACCCTACCATACATCTTATTTCCCAGTGAAAATAAACATTTGTTGCAATGAAACTTGGCCTATACTCACAAACATACTTTAAGTACAGTTTTCTAGCTCATCCCAAAAGATTTTCTATTTCCCCCCACTTACCTCTTCTCTAATCATCATCTTACATTACCTTAATACAGTGGTTATATTGGCAAGCACAAGATTGAGAATGGCAGGCAGACTGGAAAAACCCAGGCATGGAAACATGGCTGGCAAACCAGATAGAAAAGCTGTGCCAAAGAAAAGTTATGTCTTATAAAAACTCCCAGATCCCAACTCTTCCAAAAAAAAGAGATGCCTTACAGCTGTCAAACTGGGCACATTTAGGAATTCAGAACAGTTCCATGGGAGTTTGCTTTCCTTGCTGTTCTCCACCCACATCAAGAATTTCTGAATCCCCAAAAGTCAAGCAATAGCCAGCTTTACCATACATAAAATATCAATGGAAGAAGAGATTTTAAAACTACCTGGAAATACTTTCATAGATTATAATCCTAAATATTAAGAAAACTTTTGTTCAAATACTTGAATCAGAAAGAGAAATCTTGCTTTCTAATTTTGATCTAAATAAAATGTCAATATGCCAGCTTCCTTAAGTGAAAAATAGTGCCGAAATTCAAAAATTCAATTCTGTGATGTTACCAAAGTAGAGGGATTGAGTTTCCATGGCACAGAAAGATAGAGACATCCTATATATTGCCATATACTTAAACACTCAAGTTATAAATATGAAAATAAAAAAGTAACTAAAATATGTTAATCATTAAAGAAATAGGAATTAAGGAAAAATAAGACACATGAACTTACCAGTTTAATTGCCACATATTCATTTGTATATAAATTTTTCCCTTAAAAAAGAAGGAAAAAAATGTCAAATTCTACCAGTAATGAATTCTTAAAGCTATATTATATAAACCTGTATTCTGGGTGGGGGGAAAAAGCACAAATATATTTAGAGGAAGCACAGGTTTCTTCCAACTACTTAGGAAAAACCTCAATGATGAGGAAATACTACAACTCAATGACACATTTACTATTTCATCTGAATTCAGAGTAGAAAGTGATACTAATAAATACTTCAGCCCACTTACAAAAATGAAGAGAATCTTATTTTGTTGTAATATTGTACACAACTCAAAAGGTAATCAATAGTCAAACACATGCTAAACTAATTTTCAAAACCAGAACTCCTATATAAAAACAGGAATACAAAATCCCTCTCCTAATCATCACCTCATTTTAAATTCATTATTATCTAATGCAATCTTATTGGGGTTCATATGTAATACAAGTAAATAGAATACCTGGAGAAAAATCTGTAATATATTAAAAATAGAATAAAAAAGTATTATCCAACAATTAGCTCTAATAAATTAGCTAACTACTTTGAGTGAAAAAAGTTATTACCACCTTACTGTACAACCAAATTAAATTCCAATATTTTAAGAGTTAGATATAAGGCACAAAACAAGAAAAAATATTTTTTATTTTTAAATTTATTTTTCAATTACAGTTGACATACAATATTGTATTTGTTTAAATTGTACAACATAGTGATTATACACTTACATACCTTAGGAAGTGATCCCTCCCTAAGTCTAGTACCCATCTGAGACCATACATAGGTATTATATTATTAACTATATTCCCTATGCTGTACTTTTGTCCCCATTAATTGGCAGTTACTATTTTTATAACTGCCAATTAATACTTCCTAATCCCTTCACCTTTTTTCACCCATCACCCAACTCCCTAATCTGGCAACCATCAATTTGTTCTCTGTATCTATGAGTTTGTTTCTGTTTTGTTTGTTTATTTTGTTTTTTCCCACATGTAACTGAAATCGTATGGTATTTGTCTTAATTTGACTTCTTTCACTTAGCATAATGCTTGGTCCATCCATGTTGTTGCAAATGGCAAAATTTCATTTTTTTTATGGCTGAGTAATAATTCATAGTATATATATGTTCCATATCTTCTTTATCCATTCTTCTATCATTGGACACTGAGGTTGTTTCCATATCTTGGCTATTGTAAATAATGCTGCAATGAACACAGGGGTGCATATATCTAAAATAATGTTTACTAGCCCAATATATGGAAGTTTCCAAAGTACTAAAAAATGGAAAAAAGTAAAAGGTCAGAAGATTTTTATACAGATTTGATTACGTAAAATATTTTACATTTCGAATGTTAAAAAAAATCTACCATATACAAAGAACAGATAAGTAACAAGCCACAATAAAGATTTAATATTATTATTATGTAAAGAATTCAAATAAATTATAGTAACCTTGCAATGGTGTACTGAAAATAATCTAAAAAGGCCCAATGGGTAAGCATCCATAGCCCAAGTAAAATACTACGGAGAATTTTAAAAACAATAAGTACATGAAGACAATTTGATATATAAATTAATGTTTCTTTGCAAGTACAGTAAAAATAAGAAAAAGAATATGTGATTTCTGGATTTCTAGTATTTTTTTTTTCAATAAGCATGTAGTATTAAATTTATGGCAAGAAAAATGTTATTTTTCTTATATTATTTTTAAAGGACAGTGTTGGTTTTTTTTACAACTGTTACAGTAAATAGCCCTGGTCACATTGGCTACAGAACACAGAACAAGCAAGCATCAACTTTCACACGTGATTTTCCAGCATTAACACACCTAACTTCTTTTTATAAAGCAGCTGACAAATGGCAGTAAACTTCTAAGCAAAATTTCAGTCTCAGATATATTGCTGCTATTATACAGTGGTGTTTGTTCATACAAATAGTATAATACTTTTCTGAGTTTTTATACCTATTTTATAAAAATAAATCATAAAAAGCATTCATACTAATACTAAGTAATATGCCTCATAAACCCATTACAGTTTGCAAAGATGGAACTTAATAGGAATACCAAAAGTGGCGAACATTAACCTGTATTCAGATACTTATTGAGCCCATAAGTATTTAAAACATATACTAGAAAACATGTCTTTAGTCAATTTGTTTAGCATTTATAAGCTGTGACTTCATATACATTTTCATTATATATTATGCATACAATTGTAGGCTTCCCCTAGTAAGTGTCCAGTGAATAATTTAATGGTACACTAACTTAAACTTGAGGAACTGATGTCTATCAAAGGAACAATTCTATTTTAAGTTCAAAGATGGAATTTGTATTTTCTCAGAACATTATAATCTTTTCATAACTATTTTATATATAATATTTATTCACATATACATGAAAGGTAAATATTCATAGGAAATTAGATTAAATACAGATTCCATAGAACTTAACTTTACCAAATACTTCTAGAAGTAGTTTTTGTTGCGTTTACATAGTCAACTGTCTTTTATATCACAGCAAAAAGCACTAAATCCTAAAAACACCGTCTTTTCTAGAACATTAGAGATTTTGATGAATTTTGAGGGTTATATTTATAAACATCAACAATAATTAAACAATACTACCAATGCATTTTTGTCACTAGCATAGACATAGGTCTCACATAGTTAGCTTTTAATCAGTATTTGTTATATGCATTAACAAACAAATGATGCACAAACTGTGTGTTTGTGTGTACAGTATGAGTAAGAGAGAAGTGTGTACATGTAGAGGGAATACACTTAAGAGAAGGCTCCAAGTAGCAGATCGATTCCAGCTAACTGGTTTTAATCCAATTTTAGAAGATATTCCCAATAGAACTTTGTGCCATATTAAACTTGAAAAGCTGCTGTTACCAATTTTATGGTTTGTAAGTGGTAATTATAAAAAATTATGTTCTACAAAAACAATGTATATGTTTGTACCAGAAACTACTAGTTACCCACCAATATCCATGTGCCCTCTTCTATAATAGAATGCCCTCATTTTAAAATGGTTGTCCAGACACAGTACTGGAAGTATTAGCCATTGCGATTAGACAAGAAGAAGAAATAAAAGGCATCCAAATTGGAAAAGAAGAAGTAAAACTGTCCTTATTCGCAGATGACATGATATTGT